TAACTAAAGTAAATAATAATGGTGATTAGTTATCCTTACCCCATTCTTATTGGAAAGGCCTTGAATGTTTCTCCATTATAGAGAATGCTAATTTTTCATGTTTGATATTATTTGCCTAATTAAGGAAAGGTCAATTTATTTCTATGATTTTTACTCTTTTCAACATAAATGAATGCTATATTTTGTCAAAAGTTTTTTTCTTCCATCTATTGAAATAACTGGGTGTTTTAAAAATTGTCTTTATCATGAATGTTGTTAACTGTTATAATTTTCTTAATATTTAACCAACCCTTCATTTCTGGCTCCAACCCAACTTGGTCATGGTGTGTAATATTTTAAATATATCACAGTCAACTCATTATTAATTCTTTGTTCCAGTTTTGCATTATTATTCATTAGTTATTGGTCAATAGTTTTATTTTTTTCTTCCATTTCTTCCATGTTAGAATGTCAGAACCATATTTGACTTACCGAAGAAATTTAATAGGATTCCTTTTTTAATCTATTTTTGCAAACAATTTATGTAGTATTTACAATGAGTTGTTCTTTGAATAGAATTCACTTGTAAATCCATTTGGGGCTGGGAGATTTTTCTTTGGGAGTTAATTTACATTTTATTCAATTTCTTTTTCTAAGATCAGGTTATTTTAATTCTTTCATATTCTATTAATCTGATTATATTTTTATAACTATTCATCCCTTTCATTTAAATTGCCAGCATTGTTGGCATACAATTGGGCAAAATAGTTTCTAACAACTTCCTTCACTTCCTATCATTTGTTGTGAAACTTCCTTTTTCACTTTTGATGTTGGTAATTTGATTTTCCTTTCCTTTGCAAAATCAAATTATCCAGCAGTTTGTCTACTTCATTAATTTTCCCCCCAAAAAATAGCTCTTTTTATTTGTAAATTCAATGGGGTTTTTATGCTTTCGATTCTATTAACTTCTTTGAATTTCAAAATTTCCATTTTTTGTGTTTAATTTTGATTTGTTACTTTTCTAGTTTGATTACTTGCATGTCAATCCATTTATCTGTTTTTTCTTTATTTTGTTATTTGGAAATATATTTTTCATTTACTGTTTTGATTGTATCCCAAAAGTTGTGGTGTGTTTCATTGTTGTCATTTTTTTCATAAAATTATCTACCAGTATTATGAGTTGTTCCTTGATCTCTATTTTCATTAGAACTATGTTATTTAGGTTCCATTTAATTTTAAATCTTTTCCACCATTACTCAATATAATTTTTATTATGTTGAAATCATTAAAAGACATATTGACTATTTCTCCATTTAGGTATACAAAGACAAAAATTACACAGTCTCTTCCTTCAAGAGGAGGTAGGTGTCACCATGGATAAAGTACTGGAACTCAAATTAGGAAGACCTGGATTTAAATCCTACCTCAGACACCTACTATCTGTATGACTTTGGGCAAGTCACTTAACTGCTATCTACCACAGTTTCATCATCTGTAAAATGGAGATAATAATAGCACCTACTTCATAGCATTGTGAAGATAATCTGAGATAACATGGAAAATGATTTTGCAGACTTTAAAGTGCTATACAAATGCTAGCTATTGTTATTATTATTATTATATAGAAAAAACACTTCCATGTGTTTTTTTATCCATTATTATTTCTGTAGTAAGATACACTTCCATTTGAGGGTAAAGGAAGTATGGATAGGGGATTTGGCCTCAAAAGATAAAATTTGACAGCAAAACAGTAACTTTCCAATAAAACATAAGCAACACTCTGAGTCATCCAAATAACTTCACTAAAAATATGATACTAGGCCTTTCAATAACTGCCCGTAAGATACTGTGGGGTATAGGCCTAATCCAAAGGCTCTTGTTGGGGGCAGGGAGAGGGCTGTCAGAAGAAGAGGTACATTTTATGATTGTTGCTTTGAACAATACCTCTCCCTACAAAATTCCCCACTTTTGTCCCTTCATTTAAGGACTTCTTTTAAAGTATTTTTTTGTTTAAATATTTATATTTTGGGGAAAACACAATGCTATGCACAAATGCTGACAGTAAAGGTTGACTTTCCCTCAGAAATGGAAGTAGGGGCAAGGAAGACTCCTACCAGGATCTAAGTTTCTCTCTCCTGCTAGAGTTACAGTACTGAGTTCTTATACTGCTGCAAGAATCTTCTTTCCAATAGCTACTTAAACAAGAAATAATTCAAGCCTACCAGATTATAATAGAAACTTTTGTTATTTGTTGTTGTTTCTTTTACCTCAGTCCTTAAATAAACTCAGGGAGGATTGTTTGCTTGTTTAACAATGCAACTGCAGGAAAGACAAGAAGCTAAAAAGCTAATTGAAACATAAGCAAGAAAGCCACAAAAAAAGCAAGATCACAGAAGATCTAAAGAAAGTTTTCTTTATAAGCTTGCCTACCAAAAGGAGGTTTATTCATGTATCAACATTATTCAATGTGACCATAAACAGGGACTTCTTTTAAAATGTACCTAAAAAATCATGCATTGTGTAAATCAGCTCCTTGACTTTATACATTCAATACTCCAAGTGAGTCTGATCCATTAATTGAAGAATAAAACTAAGATTATGGGTATTCTTACACATTGCTTTATGACAATATTGCCGTCCACTCCTCAAAAAAGCAAAGCATTAAACTCCTTGAGGGAGAACCCATTTATTCTACCTATTTTGGTATAACCCAAAATTCTACCACTACAGTGTTGGGGACAGGGCAGGTTGTCAAGCAAGTGTTTGTTGAACTGAATAATTCTTTACTGCTTTTTTACTTGAGAAAAATGGAAGTCTTATCTTACTAACATATGATACTCAATTCAATAAACAATCACTAAGTTCCTACCAAGTATCCTTCTATGCTGTGCTAGGTGCTGGGATAGAAAGACAAAATACAAAACTGTACCTAATTTCAAGGAGTTTAAATTCAACAAGGTGTAATATGATATAAATTCTTCATTTCCATAATGGTAGATATAATGGGAAGAATACTGGATTTGGAGTCAAAGAACCTGGATTCAGGTCCCAAGTGACTTTGACCCAAATCACTTCTCTTCTTTGAAATTTTGTTTCCTCATCAGCATCTCGGTGTCCTAAGATCCTTTCCAAATCTAGATCCTATAGCCTAAGGTCTAAAACACAGTTAAGCTGGAAAATAATTATTTATAATTTGTTTTGCGAATAAAAATGTGATCTGCCAGTATCTTTCAACTGCTGGTCCATAGACTTAGAGTTATGCAAGGCCAATTAAAGAAAAACAGTTTTTTCCCCTTCAAAACTTTTGCTACCAAAGGTCTTCACACCTCTTAAAATCTAAAAATTTACCTAATGGATAAGGTAAATGACTCCTTAAATCACCGTGGTTAAAGAGAATCAGCCCTAATCCAATTAATTTCTTGACCGAACACACCACAGGCCCAACATTTATTTACAGTCACCAATCAGCAAGCAATGTAAATAATTCAGTTACTTCAATTATCATAATAAATGGACTTAAAGATTTGATGCATTATTTTGAAAACATAATTGCTAATGAGATATTCAAGTCTTCTTGTTTAACAAATAAGAAAGAAATACAAGACTTGTTGCTTGGTTTTGTACACAAAAATAACAGTAAAAGAAATACTTCAGAGCTTTGCCAATACCTGGCAATAATAATAAAACAGAATTTGTTTGCCTGTTTAAAAGGAAGAAAAGATTTGGAAAAGTCTAGCATTATAATGCTGATTTTTTAAAACTGAGTTCATTGTTCAGCTTGGATGAAGGAATCTTCACCAAGACCACAGTGTGTTGTTGATGGAGATGTTTTATCAAAGAAACCCACGAAATCCATTAATTTTTAGTGACCTCTAAAAGTTGATTTTAGAGGTCACTAAAACCTTATTTTAGAAGACAAACCTTATAGAATTACTTCAAGTGTAAGGTTATACTAATTATTTAATTCAATCAATATCATTATTTTGGATATATTTCTTTTTCATATACATATTTATGTGAAGCAATATTTTTAGTTAGGTAATAATAAAAACAAAGAAATTACTTATCTAACACTATTCTAGGCCTTGTAATAACATTTTTAATGGCATAGATATAAAAATTAGTAAATAAAAAAGGAATAATTATGCTAAATTGTTTCAATTTCTACAACTTTTTATTATATGTATTTTAGAGAATCAGCATTGCATAGAAGATAGATGGCTAGACTCAAAGTGAGAAGAAGAAACTATGTTAAAGTTCAGCTTCTGATCTTAACTAGCTGTGTGACCATAGTCAGGTCATTTAATCTCAGGAAATTCTACAACACTCTTAATTATGGATGAATTGCAGATCAGCGATAGAAGTTTCACCCACCAATGAAATCACAGGTCTGGACCAAAAACACATGTAATTTATGAAGGTGAATACTCCTGAATAATTTTAAATGGTTTGTAGCAAAGAATTTAACTATTTTATCAATATGCTTTGGGTTGGAGAATGCTGATTTATTTTCAATTGCATGTACTTACTAATGACTGTATAACCAGTTAGCTCATTGTATGTTATAATTCTTTTAAGGATTACTATATTTTCTTTAAACTTTACCAAACACAAAATCTACTAACAATGCTCAAGCCATACCTTTCCATCAAAACCCTACTTAACAGTCCCTTCCAATACTTCAAAGTTTTTTTCTGACCAATAAAAGAAACTAGGAATAGTTCAAAGGATTATGAAAGGATAATGAAAAAATCAGTGAAAATCAACCATACATTCTCTTATACTTCTAAACTGATAAATTCCAGGAATAAATATAGCTTTTAGTATATGCTTTGAACCATATATACATATATATATGTAAATATGTTTACATAATACTATGTGTACTTAGAGGAATATAGGTTCTGTTAAAATAGAAATTCACTATAACATTAAAATGTGTTTTTCATAGATTACTGACTATAAATTTAGGTCTTTTAGTTAAGACCATTACTGATCAATAATACTTTAAATATACTTACCCTGACTTCATTCACATCATCTGAATAATCCACACTCTGGCAAATATAGCTATATCCTGCAGCAGTTGATGCCAAAAATAGCTAGAAAAAAATGAAAGATGTATATTTAGGTTAAAATTTTAACAGAAAAGCATATTAATATATGTAATGATTTTAAATGTTTGTATTTAAAATATGGATAATTACTTTAAGGGATAAAGATACCAAATATTTAAATATATATACACACACATATACATACACACACATAAATTTAAAAGTAAAGAAAGAAGGCAGACAGACAAAGCAAACTTTTGTTCTAGCTTCTAGCAGGTAAAAAATGCTTCAAGGTCAGGAATACAGAGGAGAAAGTTCTAGGCTATTTTCAATAAATTCCACAGTGGACCAGGAAATGCAAGACCCTGATAGGAAATAACAAATAACGGTAGTAGAAAGGGAAGTAAATATGTCTAATTTATTTTTGTGACTCCATCAGATACTAACACAGTGTTCTATATACAGTAGATACTTAATAAGAGTTTAATTTATAGACTTTGAAGGTCAGTCTCTTGGATTGCAAATGACTCATAAATTAATATATCTAGCATTTACCATTCTCCTGACCTCAAGTCCTAGATCTCTAACTGCTGGCTAGACACTTCTATTTCAAACTCAAAATGTCCAAATACAACTCATCTCCCTTTCCCTTCTCCCATTTTCAACCCACTTCTCCTAACTTTTCTATTTCTGTCTAGGGCAGAACTATTCTTTCAGTAACCAACCTCACAACCTAAGAATCATCCTCAATCCTTCCCTCTCACTTACTCCCTGTATCCAATCAGTTGCCAAGTCTTGTCAATCCTCCCTCCACAGCATCTCTTAATCTGTCCCCTGTCTCTCTCTACACATAGGGCTACCATCCTCATTCACACCTCTCACCAAAAGGGGCAGCTAGATGGCATAGTACCTTGGAGTCAGGACAGATATGAGTTCAGATCTAGCGTCAGATAAGTTGTGTGGCCCTGGCTAAGTCTGCCTCAGTTTCCTCATTTGTAAAATAGGGACAACAATAGCAACTACCTCCCAGGGTTGTTGTGAGGACCAAATGAGATAATATTTATAAAGCATTTAGCACAGTGCCTGGCAAATAGTGAATGCTATATAAGTGTTATTATTATCTTTATTACAATATTGCAATAGCCTCTGAATTGGTCTTCTTGCTTTCAGTCTCTTCCTTTTCCAGTCCCAAATCCACTCAACTGCAAATTGATATTCTTTGCTCAAGTGTCACTTCCTAAAAGGGGGTATTTCTTAATGTTAAGCATGATGTTAACAATGATTATACTTTGGGATATGAGCAACTCCATAACACATAATGAACTAGAAATAAATCACTTAAGCTTTCTGAACATTGGTCTGGTCCTTTGTAAAATGGGAGTGATTAAACTAGGTGAACTCCTAAAGTTCTTCTTTCCTGCTTCTGATCTGTGATTCTATGACCATGATCCAAACTCTTCTTGATTCCTAGACTTTTTGTACCATTACCATAACCATATCAATTCATACAATCATTCACTCAACAAGCACCTACTATGTGTTATGTCTGGAGTCAGACAGCACAAGTCAAGTATTATCCCTCTCTGATAAGCACTTAAAATGTAAACTTTCTTAGTATTTAATTTGTGAAAGGCTTCGTATCCTATTTTTATCACATTACATTAAAGCTTAAATATTTATATTTGTGAGAATTGTTTTTGTTTCCTCGATTAGTGACACCAAACAATTTTAAAATACCATTATCTAAAACAATATTAAAAATTTTCAGATACTATTTTATTTTTGGTAGACAAAAAACTCACAAGAAATTCTGAGTACACACACTGATTGCAATTGTTTGTGCTCCCTCAACCCAAAATACTTTGTAATTATTTTGTATATGTTGTACATTTGAATATTACTTTCCCCCCAGTAGACTGTAAGCTCATAAAAGGCAAAGATCATTTCATTTTTGTCTGTGTATCCCCAGCACCTAGCACAATAGGCTTAATAAGTGCTTGTGGAATTAGTCAAGTGAACTGAAGACAGATAGACCAATTCTCTGAGATTCTTTTCATTTCTGAGGTTCTATGATCCTGTGTGAACAAACATTGTGCTAGGAGAGAGAGATAAAAAAGTTAAGTACAATATGTCCCTTCTTTCATGGAACTTAAATTCTATTAGGGGGTAAAGATGCCAACATAGGTCATCATAATACCCAATACTATAGAATCCATTAGGGAGATAGAAAACAAAGTACTATGCGAGATCATTATTGAATAGGGGTGGTCAGGGAAGAGCTAAAAATGTCTAGGACATTAGATTAATTTTAAGAGTAGATAACAATTATCTTCACATACAAGGAAGTTGCTAATTAGATTTTTACAGGTTAAGTTTCTCTAGCCACTGGGGTTATTATACAGATATCTAATAAACATACCTCTCTGAAGATAAACATGTTAAGTAAAACCATTCCAAAATTATAGACAATCAACACTAAACGCATCTGGAAGGGTTCTCTGTTCTTCATCCATTTGGGTCCCAGCCACACAAAGAGGAGATAAAGAGTACTTATACATAATGTAGGCCACGGAGACTGCATCAGAGGCCAGTTTTCAACACGTTTATCTACAAAAAGAACAAAAATTAAAAATTAGTTTAAATTGTAAAATTCCATTGTTATTACAAAGTTTCAAGCCATTTTCTTTAATGAAATGAAATAAAATTATCTTGTTACTAAACTATAATAATTTTTAGTAAAGTACTGTGAAGCCTCACATCTTAAGAATGTGTTAATTCTAAAGTTATAAGGTTTTCTTGTCATTTGTGGGTGTGAGATTTACATATTAAAATTTCATCCTGTCTTCTCATATGATCAAAATCATTTGAGATCCAGGGGAGAGTGACAAAGCTCATTAAAGATTTTGGAGTTAGGGATGAGATGAAAAGTGAAAGTAACAAGACCATGCTCTAAGCATGAATTTTTCAAGGGGACATAACTGCAATTATTAAGTATATAAAGTGCTATCGTCTAAGCGAAAATTGGAAGCTAGTCTTTGAGTCTATGATTAGAGAAAAATGCATGTAAGTAAAACAAGAATGAATTTAGGATGAACCTATTGACCATGAACTTTAAAATAAAGGACATTATATTAAAATATTAAAATAGAGGACATTAAAAAGAAAAATTACTGAATTTTTCTCTTGAGACTTAAAAGGATGGTAGACAACCATATTTTTAGGATTAATTATACATAAAGAAAGGTAAGTAGGTAAGATACTATCTCAAGATCCATAACAGGCCTAAATCTTATAATTTTATAAAAATTGTGATTATTATGTCCCATTATTATGAACATTTTTCTTCTAAAACACAAAAGAATGCCTTTTAAAAAAAATTCTAGAAAGGAATCTAGCACCTTTCCAATCCCAAAGCTCAAGGTTTCTATTTATCACCAAAGCCTAGGTCCCCTAGGACAATAAGTAAATAAAAAGATTGATTTAGATAGAGACAATCTTTTAAAAAAAATTTTTTAACAGCCTGAATTAGTCTATTAGGTATAACTATCTCAGACAAAAGCTGAAGATAAGCCATGAACTGGGCCCAGAATTGAAAAGGAATAAGAGAATGTTTAATTATATTTAGAAAAATGTAAAGTGTTTTCAGGTATACCCATATTGCCTCCCGAAACAGAAACCTAAATCTTTAACACCAGTATTTTTTCTAATGATACTACATGGCTGGAATTCATAGAATATCACAATCTCTGAAGAAGTAAGATTACAGGTGACCCAAAGGGGAACAGAGAAGCAAGTGACAGGTGCAAATATACTACAACATATTACCAATAACTTGTGTACAAGAAGCAACAGCATATCATCTAGTAGATACGATTAGAAAAGAAGTGGAATAATCACATGTAATGGGCAATCTGAGTACTGCACTAGTACATACAAAATGTCAAAAGATCAATAAATGGACCTCCCAAAGTTGTTGTGAAAATCAAGTCAAATGAGATGATAGGTGTAAAGCATTTTGTAAATCTGAAAGTATTATATAAATAACATCTATTTATTATTACCTAGAACAGCATTTTTAAATCTTTTTTTCAGTTATGGACCCATTTGGCAATGAGTTGAAGTCTACAATATATGAAAATGCCTAGGATTATGAAAGAAACTAATTATGCAATTATAAATCAAAATACATTTCTCTTCCCCTTATCACCTGAATTTCTCGAAAAATCCACCTACAATTGGCTATTTTCTCTCCTCTCACTTGATTCTAAACCTGCCATTTGGCTTGTGATTTTATCATTCAACTGACACTTCTATTTCCAAAGGCACCGATGATCTCTTAATGCCAGATTTAATGGCCTCCTCTCAATCCTCATCTTTTTTTTATTCTCTGAAGCATTAAACATTGTTGACCATCTCCTGCATACCCCCTCCTGTCTAGGTTTTCATGACTGCATTCTCTTGGTTCTCTTCTGCTCCTTCTCAGTCTCTTTTGTTGGATCTTCATCCATGTCATGCCCAAGTAGGTTTATTCCAAGACTCCGCCATGGGCCTTTTCTTCTTTTTCTGTAGATTCTCTCAGTTAGTGACTTCATTAGCTCCATTAAGTTCAATAATCATATCTATGTAGATGATGCCCAAACCTATTTATCCAGTTCTAGTCTCCTTCCTGAACTCCAGTTTTATAATACCAACTATCTATTAAACATTTTGAATTGGCTATCCCAGAAATATCTCAAACTCAACATATACAGAAGAGAAGTCATTATCTTTTCCCCCAATTCCATCACTCTTCTGAATATCCTTATTGTTTTCAAGGGCATTATCACCTTCCCAGTCATCTAGGCTCAAAACCTCTAGGTTCAATTCTTCACTCTATCACACCCCACATACCTAATCTCTTGTTAAATCTCATAATTCCTTTCTTTATCACATCTCTTACATATATCCCCTTCTCTCTACTCAACACAGTCTTCACCCTAGTTCAGGCTCTCATTACATTTCATTTGAAACATTTTAATAGCCTTCCAACGGGTATCCCTTATTTGTTTCTCCTCGCTCCAAACCATCCTACACATAGGAGTCAAAGTGATCCTCCTGTATATCTTGCCAGGTCCTTCTTTCTCTTACTCAATGAAATACAGTTGTTCCTTATTACCTTCAAGATCAAATATCAAGTCCTTTATTTGGGAATTAGAACTCTTCCCAATCTGGCTTTCTCCTATCTTCCCAGACTTCCCAGACTTCTTACATTCTGTTCTACAATCCAGCCATAATAGCTGTTCTTCCTTTCACATAACACTCCATGTGCTGCCTCCATGCTTCTGCACTGACTGTCTACATACCTGGAATGCTCTCCCTCTTCACTTCTAACTCTTAGAATCCCCTAGCTTTCTTTAAAGTTCATCTCAAACCTCATCTCCTTAAGGAGACTTTTCCTGATCTCCCAGTTGCTAATGACACCCCCTCTAAAGTTATCTTCCAACTATTTTTGAAGGTACTGATTTATATATGTTGTCTCATTAGAATATAAGCTTTTTGAGGTCAGGGGCTATTTCTGCTTTGTCTTTGTATCTCCACAGCTTAGCACAGTGCTTGGCAGACAGTAAATGATTAATAAATGCTTGTTACTTGACTGATCTAAGTTGTACATTGTTACTTTGGTCTTTTGCATGTAAAAGTATTCCACAAGACATTACTTTCGTCTTTTTTTGAGTAGGGGCAGGAGAAAACAGTTGCAACATAAATAACATACATATTTTTTATGATTTGTGCAGAATATTCATAACGATAGACTGTTTCTACATTGTGCCTGGAACTGAAAAAGTAAAATGGTCCTTAGACATTCCTACTGCTATGACATCTATTTTGGCAAATATACTTTTAAAAAAATATATGTAATTCTTAATGTTCAAGAGGTAACATTCCATAGTAAACAGAACCAAGAAGACCTGGATTCAAGTGTTATTCCTAATGCATATTTCTGATGAAAGTTCATACTGTATATTTTGTTTTGCACAAGCCAACTCCCCAAGATTATAAGTTAACGGAGAATATGTCAACCTGTATTGGTAGAAAGAATTTTCTTCATTTGGAAGTTCCTTATACCATTGAAAGAATAAGTCCAGTCCCTATCCTTAATATCCAATGACAAGTTTAAGAAATTTTTGCTACAATAAAAGCTTATAAATACCAATTTTGTTTAGTTTTTCTGATTTTAGTCACTTTTCATAGAATTCATTTTTGCTATTTTTTTTACTATTTGCTATCAGGATTAGATATACTTGTCAAGAAATGCTCTAGTTTTATTTTTGTTTTTTTTTAATAATAGGACTTAAGATGATCTCATACTATATTTAGAAAAGATGGGAAAATGCCTAAAACTTCCATTGTTACATTAATGTTGTCCCTTTGTACACTGTACCAAGATCTCTCATTAAGCCATTCTACAATATTGTACATGGCATATTTATATACTCCTTACCACTCATTAACACTTTCATATATTTGTGAGTTTTTAATTAAGCAGGTATATGGGTCACTGCTGTAACCCTAACATCAAGAGCAATCATACCTGTGTCTATCCTTGCCTTTCATTCACTTTCTAGGAATAGATTTTTAGATTTAGAGCTATTTTCAGATGAGGCAACTGAGACTTTGAGAGGTTAAGGATCTTGCCTAAGATTAAGCAGATAGTAAGATGGCCAAAAATTTAATTCAGGTCCTCAGATTGCAAATACAGCCTTCTTCCTACTGTGCCACACTGTCAGATCCCAGGTGAATATTGTACAACACTTGAAGTTAGAGCAGAATAGATTCTTAGTGAATCTAAGGTACGAAGAACCATGCTAACTAAGTTATGGGGATAGAAATAGAGAAGCAAAAACAGATTTCAAGGACCTCTTACATTCTAATAGGGGAAATTAATTCATACAGGGGAACCTGGGCTGAGAGGCATATTTTGGTCTGGAAAGTTACAGAGATGGTAAGTGGAGATACAAGGGAGAAGATTGACATATGGGTCCCTTTGTCAGGTTGTCATAAACTCAATTTATTTATCTACTCAACACTCATTCAGCATGTACGTAACTGAAGGACTATGATATTCACAATGTCATATTCTAGATCTCCTTTCACATAATCTAAACCTAAAATATCTTATACTTCCTCCAATTTAGTGGTTCTTAAACATTTTTTGTGTCATGAATCCTTTTCACAGTTTGGTGAAGCCTCTGAACCTCTTCCTGGAAAAATGTTTTTAAATACATAAGATAAGGAAAATGAAGACATGACTTTTTCCCATCCAAGTTCACGGGCCCATTGAAATCGATTCACTGACCCCCAGAAGTCCATCTATCCCAGGTAAACAACCCCTGTTCCAGTCGATAAAGAGTTCTTATAATCTCACTCTTCCAATTAATTGAAAGTAAGGTGATGATCATTTCCTCCCAAATCATCATCATCTGCTTGGAGATAGATTAAGTTTCATTACATAGAAACTTCTACAAACAATTTCTCTATACCTCTTTAGGGTCTTTGTCCTTTAGAGGATTATTTAAAATAGTGTTTCCACTTAGAATAGAAATTCCATGAAGGATAGGAGCATGTCT